GAAACTCTGCAACGGTACGCGACTCGCAGTCAAGAAATTGATGAACAACGTAGTAGAAGCGACGAACATAACTGGTCCTTTCAAATGTGAAGATGTCCTTATTCCTAGGATTCCTCTGATCTCGACTGATACACCGTTCCTGTTCAAGAGATTGCAGTTTCCCATTCGTTTGGCGTTCGCAATGGCCATTAATAAAGCTCAAGGTCAATCTCTGGAGTTGTGTGGTCTAGATTTGGATGCAGATTGTTTTTCACACGGACAATTATATGTTGCGTATTCCCGTGTCGGAAAACCAGATAGTCTTTATATTTACGCGGAGAATGGAGAAACGAATAATATTGCATACCTAAAAGTATTACAGAATTAAATGAATTTGAAAATTATTCTTTTTGGTTTGACTTATTTCTTATGCGTGCAACCACAATACGCCACAGAGAAACGTGGCAGGGTACAGCTAGTACAATATAAATTATCTATATTTATGTCAAAAAACAATGAAATAAGGCCTGCTTTCATTTCATTCACCAATACATTTTATATTTACACTTTGACATTCATATTTTGCATTTTCCTCTATTTCTAACAATCGTTTGTATGGCAGCTATTTGATATAGTCGTCCGACTTTCATAAAATTAAATTGGATATTCTAGAGTAATACTAATGGGCTCAAATTTGATAAAAATCTGTTGAAAACTGAAAAAGTTATAATTTTTAATTGTATTAATTTCGATCGTTCCTATGGGAGCTATATGATATAGTAGTCCGATTTTCATAAAATTCTACACAAAATTATATATAGAAAGAAAAATTATATATAGAAGATTAACTGAAAGTTTCTTTCTGGTACCTGCAAAACTGAGAGACTATTTTGGACAGACGGACATGACTAGATTAACTCGGCTGTTGCATGAAATGGAAAAAATTTAGGTTTTTCTTCGGGCTTGTTCCGAGTGAGAACAGATAGTGGACTTTAATTTTAATCTGACAAATGGACTGACGGACAGACGGACATGGATAGTCCAACTCAAGTGTTGATGCCGATCAAGAATATTTGTACCCTATAGGGTCGAAAATGACTCCCTCAGTGCATGGCAAACTTCTGACTAAAATTATAGCACCCTGCAAAGGTATAAAAGGGAATGTTTTCTTTTATTAACAACTTCTTAAACAGAGCCATTATGCATTGCCATCACTTACATCACTGAGAGAACGCAAGCTGTTGAAAAAAAAATTAAAATAAAATTATGTTATTTCGGGACAATTAAGAATAATATAAAATATATAAATGATTTGTGTTATTTATGTTAAAACGAAGAAATGCCCATATTCATTACATTCACCTATACATGGTATAGTTATAATTTTTAAGTTACAGTTTAACAATAATTTTCCTCTATATCTAAGGATTGTTTCTATAAATTCGAAATTTGAATGCCAATATCTTATAAAAAACAAATCCTACAACTTTCTTGGTTTCAGATTCGGAATCCTTGGGATTTGAAAATTTGTCGAATATGTATGCGACAATAGCGATACTGTGCGTTGTCACAATATCAACAAACAGACATGTATTAAGTCGCGATTTGAACATGTTGAAAATCCAAGAGCAGGGGGCTTTCATTAAAACTACGATTAAAAATAAGTTAAAAACAAGAAAGGAAGCTAACTTCGGCACTCCGAAGTTTATATACCCTTGCAGATAAAACTTCGATGACTAGGAATCCATACAATATTAATTATATATATTTGTGTTAAACAACAATGAAGTAATACCTGATTTTATTTCATTCACCTACACATATTATATTTTCAGTTTTACATTCACTGATCAAACGATCAAACGATCGTTTGTATGGCACATATATGATATATTCGTCCGATTTACATAAAATTTGACACAAAATTTAAGACTAATATAAAAGGGCTATACCTCAAATTAAATAAAAATTTGTTGAAAACTAAAAATATTATAATTTTTAATTGTATTAATTTCTCGATAGTTCCTATGGGAGGTTTATCATATAGTAGTCTGATATTAATAAAATTGTACACAAAATTGTAAAGTATAATAAAATGACTATATCTCAAATTTGATCAAATTCTGTTGAAAACTGAAAATGTTATAATTTTTTTTGTAAAAATTTTCCGACCATTCCTATGGCAGCTATATAATATAATCGTCCGATCTGGCCCGTTCCGACATATATACGAGTGAGAGTATATAGAAGGCTAACTACAAAGTTTCATTCAGAAAGCTTCAAAACTGAGAGACTAGTTTGCGTAGAATCGAACAGACGGACAGACGGACATGGCTAGATCGACTCGGCTGTTGATCCAGATCACGAATATATATACTTTATATGGTCGGAGGTGCCTCCTTCACTGCGTTGCAAACTTCTGACTGAAATTATAATACCGTGCAAGGGTATAACAAGAAAGGAAGTTAACTTCGGCACGCCGACTTTTGTAACACCTTGCAGATTGCAATTCATTCCTTAAAATAAATTCAATATAAATCAAACATATATATTATTACATTCATTACATTCGCCTTAAACATATTATATTTACAATTTACAGGTACAGTTTTACATTCATAGTGTATATCGAAAACTGAAAGTAATTAGTATTAATTGTATTAATTTCTCGACCGTTTCTATGGCATGATATACATAGTCGTCCTATCAGGCGGACGATACAACGAAGGTAGTCCCTTCGGCAGTCAAAGCGCTCGGGTTTCGCTTCGCGTCTTTGTCTTCGTTTTCGTTTTTCGTAGTGAAAGGTTGGGTGCGGACAAAATTTTGTCTAACATTAACATTATGCAACGTGATATTTAAAAAGAAAATCTATTTTACGCTTAGAATATATTTTTGAATTAAGAACTTGAAAAAACGCTCGCAACACGAAAACAAAAATAATGCCTCATTTGTAAATCAAAATTGTTTTAAGTAATATATAAAAAATGTTCTACTCGTTTTATTATAAAAATAAATTTATTGCCCCATACATCATCTAAGGGCTAATCAACAGATTCTATTGTTGTCCCGCTCGAACTTATTAGGTTGAGCCTTCTCACTCGCACTCATTGTTTTGATCGAACAGGTACAAGATTTTTCCGACGGGACTACCATGTATAATTGTATCATAATCTGACTCGTTCTGTAAAAAGAGTGAGAGTATATAGAAGACCAACTGCAAAGTTTCATTCAGATAGCTTTAAAACTTAGAGACTAGTTTGCGTAGAAACAGGAAGAATTGTACATTTAAAACTAAATTTTAAACTTACAATTATTGCATACAGCCTACACTTTATGTTTTTTAGTCAACTTAATTTTTTATCATCAACGGAACCCATTAAGTAACAAACGAATTCATTTAATTTTAAAAATGTCTATGTCATCACCGTTATTCGAAAACAGACCATTTTATTTTTGGCTGGGGAATCAAAAATATTCAGTAAATCAGTAAACAGTAAAGAAAGTCTGATGATATGGATCTTTGGGATTCGTCATCGGCGCCACCCAATTTAAATTAATACTCGCCGTACATGAGAAACACAGGTCAAGAAAGCGCTCTAAGGAATTTTGTACGTTTTGGAACAACGAATTTACGAAAATGGAGAAATGTAGGAACGAGTAATCAAAACGAAGCTACCAATATCAGCTAGCTTCACACAGAGGATTAAAATTCGGACACAGTTGGAAAAACTGCGGACCTTAGAATCTCCTATTTTTAACCAGGTTTCTGTGAACACAATAACCCGAGAAGCAAACGAATGACTATGATTGAATACCAGTTAGGAAGGCTTATTTTATTTATTTATTTATCTAAAGCTAACAGATAGTTAAAAACTAGGAGATAACTTATGTTCTAGAGCTATAGCTACTAAGGCCTTCAGATCGCTGGTTATTATTTACAGAACTTACATGTGGCTTACTGCTATAATAGTTTACATGTATTTACAAAAATAATTTATTGCTTACTGCTGTATTTTGTTTTTATTTATTTATTTTATTTAATTATTATTATTTTTTTGTATTATTTATTTTATTTTTCATGTGATTCATATATTGTAGAAGATTTGGCAGCTATCAAGGTATTTGAGGATGTTTTTGGAGTTTGGATTAGATGGGTTTGCTATCATAGTGAAAAGGTTAGGGCTGTGGAGGAATTTGGATCGTTGGTTGGCAAGGGCGGGGCAGGTGTTTATAATGTGATGTAAGGTAACTTGTGCATTGTTGTACAATGGGCAGAGGCTGTTTTTAGTTCTGTCGAGGTAGTGGGCGTTTGTTAGGTATGTGTGGTTAAGGGAACAGTTATGTTAGGAAGGTTACTGCGTAAGCCTCTTTCATTTTGATAGGAATTAGGAGACGTAAAGGCCGTAGTGCTCTGATCGTGCCGTAGAAGAGGTATTCCGTCAGGCCGCATTTTCTTTTTCTTAGCTTCGTACTACTTGACAACAATATACTCTGTCCGGAATTGGGAGATTTATTTTACCTTTCCCAGCTTTATTTTTATTTGTTTCGGCCCTGGCTTTGTCTTAGATAAAGCAGTAACAAGACAGTGGTCCGGGCTTGGATTCGAATGTGCGGTCGAAGGAAGGTCCATGCTTATATAAATTCCTCTACGGACCTAATTGAACCACTTGGACCACTTGTTCTTAAATAAACAAAATATTGTTTACCACGTCTCATTAGATTCAAACGATTAAACAATTTAAATTTCATATTGTTTTAAACTTTAACTTTTAAATATCCTTCATCAGGTTTCTTTGGGCACCATTGGACTTCGGATACGGGTTCAGTAGGTCAAAAGACTTTATAATAAATGGGTCTGATACCGAGGCTGCAAATTCTTTGTTGTGGCTCTAATTATATTTTAAGTTCTGAAGTCATTAAAAATATTTTTTATACCAACCACTTTCAGGGTTTAAATTTAAATGTCGGTTGCCGAAAGTATCCCGATGATGCCTGCTTCTGTTGCTTCTCCTGTTATTGAAATGGAAAATAGTCCGGCGGTCCTTCAAAGGTCAAATCATGTACGTAATTTCGGAATAGCGTAATTTTTAAATTTCATTTTAGTATTATAGGTAATGCCACAGAAATCAGATTGCTTTTTTTTAACCCGTAAAAAGGCACTAAATAGGGTTCAAGAGTATACTTAATACACCGAAAAAGGAAGAAACTTAAATGGATCTTAAAACCCAAAAAATGTTTGCGGCACTCCTATTCTATTTTAAGTTATAATTAATTACATGAAATGTATATATTTAAATTATATATTATATTTATATTTAACTTTTTTATTATTATTTTCAGGTTAGCACAGTTCTACTTTACGGCATTCCAATTGTATCATTATATATTGAGGGGCAGGAGCGTTTGTGCCTCGCCCAAATCTCAAATACTTTGCTCAAACAATTTAGCTATAACGAGATACATAATCGTAGGGTTGCATTGGGCATTACATGTGTACAATGTACACCTGTGCAGTTGGAAATACTGCGAAGAGCTGGCGCTATGCCAGTGAGTTCGCGTCGTTGCGGAATGATAACGCGGCGAGAAGCGGAGCGATTATGTAAAAGTTTTTTGGGAGATAATACACCGCCCCGATTGCCTGAAGACTTTGCCTTTAGCGTTCAGCACAAGTGTGCTTGGGGCTGTCGCGGTTCATTTTTACCTTCCCGTTATAATTCCTCTCGGGCAAAATGCATTAAATGCTCATACTGTGGAATGTTTTTCTCGCCCAATAAATTTATATTTCATTCACATCGGATAACTACAAATGATAGATATGTGCAACCAGATGCTGCAAATTTTAATTCTTGGCGCCGGCATATGACCTTATTAAATGGAAATAATACCAGTGATGAGAAAATTATACACGCTTGGGAAGATGTCAAGGCAATGTTTAATGGCGGAACGAGGAAGAGATTGGTTGGAAGTGGAACCAGTGGTAGTAATAATAATAATCGAAATCAAAATTCATCTCCTTCATCAGGAATTTTGAAAGGAAGAACTTCATGTATTTCACCAACAGAAACTGTAAGCTTTGATAGAAACTTAAATAAGACTTTGACAACGGAAGAGGAATCATTATGCCCCACCCTGGATAAACAATATAAATATAGTACTGTTGCAGCTGCTACCGCTGCTGTGGTTGCAGCAGTTGGTGTTCCCTTTAATTTTGATGATTCTAACGCCTCCCTATCAGGGGATCATCTTTCTGTAATGCCAATATCCAGAAATTTTGTGGTAGACTACATGTGGCAACATAAGGATCATCTGCATTATGAACAGCAGTTTTCAAAAAAGGCGGAATCAAATTTGGAAACTTTTGAATTTGAAACAAATTATCCGAAATCATGGGGAAAACCAGAGGCTAATGTTATAGGAAATTCTGTGCGCTTTTCGGATAATATTACTACTCACAAAAATCGTAAGGTTATGGGTATAGGAGGAGGAGGGAATTCTAGTCTCGCCGATTATAAGATTCCATCAATTCTGAGCTGTTCGGCTTTTAAGCCTGTTGTGGCTTCTACAGCTATAGTCTCAACCTCATTATATACGAGATCCAGTGATTTGAACAAAAAAAATGATAATGTCAACTCCTCACAAGCAACAAGAACTACAACGGTTCTCACACATAATACTACTTCACACCGAATAGTTAACCACGACTTGGCGTTTTCGACAATTTCAGATAAAGAAAGTAAGCTAACATATTATTCGTCCTAGTCATTATTTATATAATACATTTTTTTACAGAAAAATTAGCAAATAGTATTTCCAAAAAAGTAAACGATAATAACAATAACGATGACGACGACGATGAAGTTGTCGATATTGAAACAACAGAGGATGAAAGTAAATTCTTGAGTCATCACGAAAATAGTAAAAGTAACAGCATCTCTCATACGACAAGTACGAATATAGATGTTGAGGCAGATGTCGATGTTGATGTCATAACAACCGAGGAGGATGCTGACGATCAATTGGAGCTTATCTCAAGTTCTTGCTCTATTAAAAATTCCAGTCGATCTTCGATGTCATTCTTTAAAACCGAACATATTCAAATATCTCCAGCGGATACAAAGGGGAAACTATGCAATGATGATGAAATCAATATAAATGGGGTATGGAATTAAAGCAAATTAATACTTAGGATGCAAAAAACTTTGTGATATTTTCTTCTGGTTCTATTGTGTAGAATATAATTTATTTCAAAACTTGAAGAAGAAAAAACAAAAAGCGTCCTATCAAGTGTTCCAATAATTATTCTGAAATGCATATTGAGACACTGAAACACAAATGGGAACTGTAATTCTCTTACTGAAAAGTATTATTTAAGTTTCCTTGTCCTTCAGATATTTTAAGTTCTTCCCAGAGTATTTTATGTATAAATAAAGCAATGAAAACACAATTAATATCACTGGACACCTCAATTTCGTTTTTCAGGAAACAAATGGCTTAAATGGTCATCATTTAAAAATAACCCACCAAAAAACGGATAAAGCGCATCATCACCATGTGGATCGATGCTGTAACCAAAAGCAGTACTACAGCAAACCCTCAGTATCTTCACAAAATCTATCCTCAACGTCTAGCCTACAAATCCAACAGCGTTTGGCCTTTCCAGTATTTTTTAAATCACAATTGCACTCATTTCGTCCTTTGAATTATTATCCCCAATCTCTGCCAGGGACGGCGACTCTAAGCTCTACCAGCTCTACGGAAGACTCCAATAAATTGAGTAACATTGAGCCATCATCGTGTTATTATGAAAAATAAAAAAATTATGAATATTTAGATGTTTAGTAATATATAAAAATATATATACATGGATAGATAGAAACATGCCTTTTAAATTCATTGAAAAAGGATAACAAAAAAGTCAAGTGCTTTAAGAATACTTGAAAACTGCTTGATTTTTAGACTCTAAATATAATTTCTATACTTTTTTACAAATTTTCAATAGATATTTATCTGAAGATTTCCTATTTTTTAAAAATGAATATAATATGTACACACAAACAAAAATATATATATAAATATTTGCTTTTATTGAGTTTTCAATGTTTTTCTAAATTATTTTTGTATCAAATAAGATAACAAAAATATTTACATTCAATCATATGTACATATGTACATATAAAATAATATACTTTATTGATATAATATCGAGTATTATAACTAAGTAAGCAAAATGATTTAAAAGGTAAGATAAACAATAATATAGTTGTTTTGTGCAGAAATAACCTGAAAGGGAATGCTAAAGATAATGACCACTGTAGGTGTTCCTACATATAATTTCAGTCAGAAGTTTGCAACTCGGTGAAGGAGGCACCTCCGACCATATAAATTGTATATATTCTTGATCAGAATCAACAGCCGAGTCGATCTAGCCATGTCCGTCTGTCCTTCTGTCAGTTTCTACGCAAACTAGTCTCTCAGTTTTGAAGCTATCTAAATGAAACTTTGCAGTTAGCCTTCTATATACTTTTTTTTTTTTTTTTTTTTTTTTTGGGCGTTGATGCACTAAGGTCAGTACATTCAAGTGGCCCGTATGACACCAGGCACGTGCCTGTTTGAGTTAGGTGTTAGTAGGCGCGGTGGAAAATATAGGACAGAATACGAGGAAAATTGAACTACCGGCGTGCTGCCAGATTGTTAGCTTGCATGCTTACTAAGTATGTTAATATCAAAGATTTTAATTTGGGAAGAGAATCTACGTTAGAGATTAGTGTGTACAAATCATTATAATTTGCACATAACACTCTAAAAGGTTCATGCAGTTCAAAGGAGGTCCTACAGTGGCGCAACACTAATGGGATATAGGATCTAGTGGTTCTACATGGTACATGGAAATTAAGCTGACCCAACAAGTCAGCACTTTCCACATCACCATGGATAAGGTTAAAAATAAAGGTTATCCCTAGCATCGTTCTACGATTGGCTAAGGACGGCAAGTTAATTAATAGGAGTCTACTAGAGTAGGAAGGTAATCTTTGGTTTGCATCCCAATTTAAACCGCGTAGAGCGAAAAGTAAATAGTTCTTTTGAACCGACTCAATGCGTTTACTATTGACGCCGTACTGAGGGCTCCAAACGCAGCATCCATATTCTAGGATAGGACGAACTAAGGAAGTATATCAGGATTTAGTAACATAGGGGTCATTGAATTCCTTCGACCACCGTTTAATAAATCCAAGCACACCCCTGGCTCTATTCACCATAGACGAAATATGATCAATAAAGTCAAGTTTTGGGTCCAAGCGGACGCCCAAATCGTCAACTGTATTAATTCTTTCCAAAGAGCAGCCGTTCAGCGTGTAAGTAGCAAGCTTAGGAGCGACACGAGAGAATGTCATTAGCTTGCATTTCGAGCCATTTAAGTTTAATAAGTTTACACGGCACCAAGTTTGAAAATTATTAAGATCTGTTTGTAAATCCGACTGGCAGGCAACGTCGTTGTATTGCACGCAAAGCTTGACGTCATCCGCCTACATAAGTACTCTGGAGTTAGTCAAGACTTTGGGCAGGTCATTTATGAACAATGTAAACAATAAGGGTCCCAAATGGCTTCCTTGCGGGACACCAGATGTAACCCTTAGAACATTGGATAAATTATTCTTAAGGAGGACCTTTTGCGTCCTGCCATTCAAATAACTAGAGATCCAATTAAGAAGATCACTTGGAAAACCCATTGAATCGAGTTTTCTAACGAGGAGAGAATGGTTAACAGAGTCAAATGCTTTACTGAAATCAGTATAGATTACATCTGTCTAACAATTATTATGGAAGCCCTTTATAATATAGGAAGAGAGCTCCAAAAGATTTGTTGTTGTTGATCTTCGCTTCATAAAACCATGTTGACATGGAGAAATAACCGATCTATAAAGGTGCTGTAAGTGAGGGGTGATAATGTTTTCAAATAATTTAGGGATGGCCGACAACTTAGAGATTCCTCTATAATTGCTGGCATCCAATTTGCTACCTTTTAACTCGTATATATGTCGGAACGGGCCAGATCGGACGACTTTATCATATAGCTGCCATAGGAATGATCGGAAAATTTTTACAAAAAAAATTATAACATTTTTAGTTTTCAACAGAGGTTATATATATAAAGCCATTTTATTATATTCTACAATTTTGTGTAAAATTTTATTAATATCGGATTACTATATCATATATGTAGCTCCCATAGGAACGATCGAAAAATTAATTTCATTAAAAATTATAATTTTTTCAGTTTTCAACAGATTTTCATCAAATTTGAGGCATAGCCATTTTATCTTTAACATATTAGTCTTAAATTTGGTGTCAAATTTCATGAAAATCGGACGACTATATCAAATAGGTGCTATACAAACGATCGTTTGATGTAGAGGAAAAATACAAATCTGTGAATGTAAAACTGCAAATATAATATCTAAAGGTAAATGAAATGAAAGCCGGTATTACTTACTTTTTAACACAAATATATATAATTTATATTGTAAGGATTCCCAGTCTTAGAAGTTCTATCTGCAATGGTTTATAAAATTAGGCGTGCCGAAGTTAGCTTCCTTTCTTGTATTTATTTATTTAAATGTCCCGAAGAGATTGCTAGTGGTAGAGGCTTACAAAATCTATCCAAACATCCACTGTTCCTGGCCATCTTTGTTTATATATTCGAATTGAATATTCAAACTTTCACCGACAAGGAGAGCGGAAAACAAGTCAGAAAGCTTACATTGACACGCCGATGTTTGTGTACCATTGCAGAATGAAATTTGAATAATAATTTATAAAAGTTAAATTATATTTATTTTTGTTAAAAAACATCATAAAAATATTTTTCTAGATTTTAGAAAAATCGACCTAAATAATAATCGGCCTTAAACTAAATAAAATGTTCTAGAATTAAGAAAAGGTTTTCATAAATTTAGGGAAAGGCACCATAAAATCAAGACAAGCCACCATAAACACCATTGTTTAGGGTTAACATTTTTTTCTGGAATCTAGGGCGATTTTTCCTGATTTGGTTAGTTTAGCTTATTTTTTAATATATAAGCGCATCGCCCTAGTTTTGCAGGTAAATTTTTTTTAAATTTAAATCTCGCGCGTGTGTTCATATGATTGCCAACTGATTCTAACATCCCTGGCATGAGGTGCCGGTTGCCGGCTAACTCTTAGATAAGTACATGTTCACATATGTAAGAACTATAACAGAAGTAGCGAGTGTCCACTGTCTACTTCTCAAATTTGGAACGACTTGCCTTTGGGTCCATTTTAATTGCGAATTTCTAAATCTACGGTTAGCATTATAAGTAGTGACATTTTTCTCAAATTTGGGGCGACTTGCCCTTGGATCCCTTTCCCTTGATGATCTTTCTAAATCTATGGGCGAAAAGTGGCTTTTTAATAGCGATTTCAGGTTAAAATTTGTATGAGGGTATATGTGATACATATTATGTATATTTAAAGTTGTAAGCTCAAACCCCAATAAGTAGACTTTCGTTTTCGTACTCGTATGAGCGAATGAGCAGAAGATAGAAAGAATAGAAAGAGAGAAGAGCATTTTGTACGTCACGAGATGGTAAAGTCAGCAGGAAGAACCACGAATTATCATTAAACAAGAAAGGAAGCTAACTACGGCGTGCCGAAGTTTATATACCCTTACAGATAAAATTTCGATGACTTGGAATCCATACAATATAAATTATATATATTTATGTTTAAAAATAATGAAGTAATACCTGCTTTCATTTCATTCAGCAATACATATTATATAAACAGTTTAACATTCACAGATTTGCTTTTTTCCTGAACATCTAACGATCGTTTGTATGGCACCTAAATGATAAATCGTCCGATTTCAGGAATTGGGAGATTTATTTTACCTTTCCCAGCTTTATTTTTATTTGTTTCGGCCCTGGCTTTGTCTTAGATAAAGCAGTAACAAGACAGTTTGGCAAGACCAAGGAGTGGATAAGTGGAAGATTCGTAACGCCATACGATTTTTTTGCACACTATTTTTTCGCGCTTTTTTTTTAAACTGGCTCCAGGCTCTCTCACATTTCGTTCAAAAGCCAGCGAGAGAGCGCTCTAGAGCCAGCTGCTCTCTCGTGCTGGCTCTTGATTCTAGAGTCTAGAGCCAGCAGAACTCTCACGCATACAGCGATATTTTCGTGCTGGCTCTACCCTCCCTGCAGTACCGCGTGTCATCAATAGGCCCCTGTCATCGACATGTCATCAACGCGCCGACTGCGACTTCTACTACGACGCCCTGTCCACGATACAGTAAGGCGGTAGTCTAGACGGCAGTCGTCGGCAGTACCATGACAGTTGTAGAGTTAAGGGTAAGCTCAGCTTCAACAAGCTGCCTATCAACATGGAGTTCGACATTTTTTCGGCGAGACGGGTAGCAGACAAGTTCGGGCAGAATATAAGGCTCGAGCTTGCCAATGTATTGGTGTATCTTCCAGATAGCTATAATGCTATCGAAGATAGCCTTCTTCTTTTTTGTAACACCAAATGCTACACCCTTACCCCATACATCACCATTGATGAAATCTCCACCACCAGTGCTTGAAGAGAGTTCAAAAATTTTAATTTTAGTGAACTAGCACGAGATCATCTATACATCTATACATACATACTTATATATAAAGAGGAAAGGTTTGATTTTTTGTTTGTTTGTATGAATTGAATAGGCTCCGAAAGTACTTGGCAGATTTGAAAAATTCATTCACTGTTGAAAAGCTACATCATTCCTGAGTGACATAGGCTATATTTTATTAAAAAAAAAATAGGCATCCTTACTAAAATTACGATAACGTAATCCAAGGTGTTAAAAAAATATCAAAAAACTACCTTACATCGCGTGCGCTGCGAAAACTATTGATGATAGAACAAAATGATATACTACATTTTTTTAGAACACACCATTATCTACAAAAAATCAGCGGCAGCATATCTCTAACTATTACAGTCATGTCACAATAAGCGTTTTTTTTATTGAAAAAAAGAAATTAAAATACCACCGCTACAAAAATGGCCCAGCAGGTGGTCAACTAGCTCATATACCGAGGATACCGATGATCCAAAATGATCCGGTAAAAACATCTTTCGCATTAACAATTAACAAGTCACAAGGCAAAACCTTCGAATTAGTATGGATCGATCTGCGAAAGAAATGTTTTACTCATGGTCAACTGTATGTTGGTCTATCGCGAGTCGGAGCCAATGAAAATCAATTTATTTTGCTGCCACAAAATAAAACAACATCAAATATTGTTTACAGAGAAGCTCTAAAAAAATAAATGTATTTAGTTCAAAGGCATTTTTTCTTTTGTCATTTTGAAATGCCTAAAAGATCAAGATATCAACTTTCTAGAAATAGTTCCCAGGACAGGGCATCAAAAATACGTCGAAATGAAGAATCTTCATCAAAAACTGAAAATCGTCTTTCAATTCATATACAATATGTGGCACCATCGCGTGCTAGAGAGTCGAGTACCGAGCGTTCGCAACGGCTCGCTGAACAAAATTTAAGAACCTCTCAAGCACGCGCGCGAGAATCGAGTCTTGAGCGTTTACAGCGTCTAGCTCAACAAAATTTGAGAACCTCTCATATCAGAAATATTCAATCTCGCACTAGGGAATCAAGCTCTGAGCGTTTCCAACGCCTACAAGATCAGAGAGAACTAAATGTGCAAGAAAGAGTCCTGAATCCGCCTACGACAACTCTGACTGCCTTCTTCACCTTATACCAGGAAGATGCTTTTGCCATAACCTTGATGTATTCAGAAGTGCCCTCTTAACTACAATATGCCATAGAGAAACGTGGCAGGGTACAGCTAGTATTTTATATAAAACATATGGACCATACAAAAATGACTCTGGTCAATTAATGTTGGGAAATCATCAAATAAATGTATCAAATAATTCAATTGAGTTTGAGGATGGGCAAAACTGGCAACTCACTAGCGGATTATACTCATTAATATTCCATCATCTTCCAAGCAATAATAATACAGATGATCTGGAGCTATATAGACAAATTTTACTAAAATCTAATGCCTTCCGAAAAAAAATTCTACCAAACGGACAAGTGAAAGGAACAAGAGCATTAAAATATTCTCAAATTATTAAACCACTTTTAGCTAATTTCCCCGTTTCTGGTCTGCCGGTCTGGTTTCATGTCACTTGAGACGAATAAACCTATATATACTGGAACGATCGATTTACTGGAACGATCCGAATGAGTTAGTGGAACGACTTCAACTTTTAATAGCTTCGGAAACAGCTAGAAATACAAATCACGCAAACGAAATTACATCTATAATTGAAGAGCTCCGAGAGGCCAAAATTATAATCTAATTTAGTATATATGCAATATTGAAATGAGATTATACTCATCATGACCGTTGACAAGTTTGGACGTTATATTCATGAAAAGCAGAACACTAAAAAGTTTGGACATTATATTCATGAAAAGCAGAACACTAATAATTTAATACGATTTGAGAAAACTGAGACGGGACTCTACCTAAATACTGATACAAAAAAGGCGTATAAAAAATGGTGGCTCCCCAAAAGAGAACGCAGACATCGCAGACATATCAAAGAATATGTTAATAAAGCTATTCATGAGTTGAGAGTATATTAACATCATTGATGAAGAAATTGGACAAAGTTTTGATGGTCTTTGGCAATCGATACTGATACAGAGGGTAATATATAATATTTAATATTCAACGTGTAAAAAATGTCGGGATTCGACAAGTCTGTAAAGAGGCTGACGGATTCGATTATTTCACATCAACAAGATTTAATTGTTAGTATTCCTGAAGATCGATTAGAGAAACTTGAGGTTGTTGTATCAACTATTATTGAAAAAATAAGATTTTCGAAATAATTTGTTAGTCTTTTATCCGAAAATAAGTAAGCAAAGCATTGTTAATGAATTGCATGCTCCTGCAAACAGTTTCTACGTCGGAGGGTTATTACAAAGGGAATAAATTCGTTATGGCAGGCTGATCTGGTGGAAATGGGAAAGTACTCTGCCTCGAATTATGGATATCGCTTCATACTAACAGTAATTGACACATTCTCGAAATTTGTGTGGTGTGAAGCACTTAAAACTAAGGCTGCAAAAGATGCGGTTGAAGCAATGGAGTACCAAAGCATATACAAACAGATGATGGGAATTTAACGTACAGTTTAAGTCTTTGATGAATCGACATCAAATAAATCATTATTCAACATTTAGTAATTTAAAGGCTTCAATTGTTGAGAGATTCAACAGAACACTAAAAAAACTTAGGTGGAAAGAGTTTTCTTACAACGGGAGCTGCAAGTGGGTTGATATCTACAAAACCTTAATTAACTTTTACAACAACAAAATAAACAGGACTATACAAATTTCTCCTATCGATGTGAACGCTGAGAATGATAAACACCTCTTGGGAACGGTTTACAATAATATAAAAATGTTTACAGGCAACAAACTGAACATTTTTGGAAATGTTCGAATTTCAAAATATAAGGGAGTATTTGAGAAATCGTACACTCCTAATTGGAATGTTGAAATTTTTAGGATATACAAAGTTCAAAATACATATTCAACCACATATCTATAAAAAGATTTAACTGGAAATCTTATTAAGGGTACTTTCTATAAGGAAGAGCTGAAAAAAACTAGATTTCCCAATACCTACCTAGTTGGGAAAGTTTTGTACTTAAAAGAGAAGGAAAAAGATCCCTTGTACGTTGGTTAGGTTTCCCGAAAACCGAGGACAGCTGGATAAATAACTCTGAAATTTTATAATTAAATAAGGACACAAGCAGTTTTATGTTTTCCTTTGGATATTTATTTTATACCCTTTCAGGGTATTATAATTTCAGTCAGAAGTTTGCAACGCTGTGAAGCAGGCACCTCCGACCATATAAAGTATATATATTCTTGATCAGAAATCAAGTCTCTCAGTTTGGAAGCTATCTGAAACTTTGTAGTTAGTCTACTTTATACTCTCACTCGTATATAAGTCGTAACGGTCCGAATCGGACGACTATATCATATAGCTGCCATAGGAATGATCGGAGAATTATAACATTTTCAGTTTGCAACAGAATTTGATCAAATTTGATATATAGCCATTTTATACTACTTATTTTTCATATCATTTTTCAATTTTGTATAAAATTTTATGAAAATCGGTCTACTATATCCTATACCTCCCATAGGAACGATCGAGAAATTAATACAATTAAAAATTATAACTTTTTTAGTTTTCAACAAATTTTCATCAAATTTATTAGTTTTAAATTTTTTGTCGAATTTTATAAAAATCGGACGATTATATCATATACATAGGTGCCATACAAACGATCGTTAGATGTAGAGGAAAAATGCAAATCTGTGAATGTAAAACTGTACATATAATATGTATAGGTGAATGAAATGAAAGCAGGTATTGCTTTTTTTTTAAATAAATATAATTTATATTGTATGGATTCCAAGTCATCAAAGTTCTGTCTGCAAGGCTGCCGAAGTTAGCTCTTTTCTTGTTATTTTTTGATTCAATTTTAATGTTATCTAATATTATATATATATATATATATTTAATTTATTTTTAATCTTAAAATAAGTATTTTTAAATAAATTAGTATTATTATTATTATCATTATTATTATTATTATATTATATATTATTATTATTAAAATAATAAAAAAATTTTTTTTTTAAAACAATTTTTGGATCTCTCATTTTATCTACCGAAATATAACGTCTAATTACATTTTTTTCGAATTTGTTGAGCGCACTTTGAGTATCATCTTATTTTCCTTTGAGAGTTACTCATTATTTGGTGTGTTTGCCAGAGCAGACATTCGGCTAAGCCAAACCCTTGAATCTGCTTCTAAAGCTGTCATACAGCCTTCAATTTCCCTACGAACTGTTTTATAATGACCTATTGCTAGAGTGGAAATTACATCATCACCTATTACTCTTTTGTCATCCCTATTATCTAAAGTAATTTTTGTAATTTTTAATGTAATAGTCATTGACATACCCTGCAGTTCATCTTTGAAGAACCCTAAGCGCTTCTTATTACACTGCTGGAAATATATATATAACTAGCTGACCCGGCAGACTTCGTACTGCCTCATCCTGAAATACTGGCTATTTATAAGGTTTAAATTTGATATTCACAGACACACACTGTTAAAATACAGTCTGTTAATTAATTTAAAGCTTTCTCATAAACTATATTTTTTGTTTTGTTTTGTGGTGCGTAAATA